ATAATTATAACTAATCACCTTCTAGGACCTCTATCAAAATACTACATTCAATAATGGTACCAGTTTTCATTTTTACAGAGCCGTACTACTTTATTTATCGAATTAATTCAACCGCGTACCCACACTGTAAAAAAATTTCACTCAAATTTCACTCAATTTTACTCAATAATGTATCAATTTCTGTCCACACTCGATTGAGTGAAATTTTCACTCTATTAGTATGAGTACAACTGAGTGAAATTATTGCATCAGAAATGAGTGAGTTTTACTCAAATCCGAATTACTGCCAACTCTCAATTGAGTGACTTTTGAATCTTCTGAGTATATAAAACCAATTTAGAGTTGACTTTTTCTCTAATATGATTTAAATTTAACTATTATTAGTCATGGGCGATATTTCACGAACTGTGATTTAATCACTGATATAAAAAAATGACAGGTCGTGATCGTTCCTCAGTTGCAAATAAAAACGTGACGTGATCACAGTTTACTTTACTCCTGTTTTCTTATTTAGCAGACTAAATATACTGCTTTAAGGGCGAATTTTGTTTAACACCATTAAAGATATCATGTATCGCGTGTCCCAAGCGCCTTATTGACCATGTCGATGCTGTAAAGTCGACTTTCGCATATTACCATAATAATATATTAACTATCAATCTTATATAGCATGGGCTATTCAAACTATTCAAATTATATTATATCTACGCATAAATGATTAATTAGGATATACAATGTTGGAACTAATTCAATTCGCGGGGGCCTCCTCCTGTCCTGGCTGAGACCCGCCAGCTGAGACCCGCCGCCGTCGGCTAAGGCCTGTTCTCCTGGTGATCGTGATTTTCTGGAGCATCTAACGGGCCCCTATTAACTGTGGTCGAGATTACAGAAGCAATATGTAAGTGCCATCTTCACAGCGCCATTCAAATGACTCGAAATTAATTTACATTTAAACTCGCTCAGTAACGAGGACATTTATTCTGATTTAGGTACAAGTGCACCAAATACGAGTTTTCGTGAAGAATTTATTTATGTAGTATATATGAGCGAAAGTACTAAGTTTTAGTTTAAATATAATGACAAATGAGTAAAATGATCAATTTGTCCAATACCGAGTGAAAATGCACTCAATAATTTCACTCAAGGGATTCACTCCGAATCTTTATTGCTTTCACTCACACCTATTTGCATATCTTCTTCACTGGTGGTTATAGTCTGTTTAGAAATGAAAGAGAGTAATAAAAGCTTATTATGTATGCAAATCGTAAATAAATGTAGTACTGGTGCTTATATTCAATATTTTTATATTATGTATTATCCGTATAGATGAGGTGTACTTTTAAAAAAACTTTGTGTGACCGGGTTGTACTAAATTGTAGCAGGTAGCTAAAATTTAATCCCCGACAATCCGTCTTTGTCTATGCCGCTTCAATTTCTCGGTCCATTTCTCTTATAAGTAAACAATATAAAAACAGCATTTCAAAACATGAGGCTACTTTAAGCATCATAACCGGGTTAAGAGGGTTTTTAGTAATTCAAATAAAATTATTCAATATTATTATCAAAATATTTATTTAAATTTAATGAATAGACTTTTATTCCACACAAAAATATATGTATTTTGAAAATTCAAATTATGGTGAGTAAATGTAGTGTTGTATAAATGTACAATAAAGAAAATAAAAAAGTAGGTATATTAAAATTCATCCTCTGAATATTCTGATGAATTATCTTCGTCTCCTAGATTGATAACGATAGGTTCCACAGTAACGTCAATTAAATTATCGAGTTCCCACATTT